GTCCGGAGCGGCTGCGCCATGTTACTGAGCACTGCTAACGAGCTTCTGCATCTCACTGCAGAAATGGCTGCATTCTGAAACCTGCCCTGTCCCCATGTGCTTCTGTTTCGGCCATTCTGGGCAATCCACATTGGCTGGAATTGTGGATTTGGAAGTATTTAAGGTGAGGCTAGTCAGCTGCAGTACACCTGCCCAACTGGAGTCAGGTTGTATCTCTTCCTCTATTGGTGTAGGAAAATTGAAATTCTTCTATGAATTCGGGTAATGCTGGCCAAGTGAGCCACCTATGAACATAAGCAGCTGATGCTGCCCACCGAGACAAATGAAACGTATTGATCTGACTGATGCTGCTGGCATTTACACAGCAGAATATTGTTTCCTGTACTAATGCTGATACTGCACAAGCCTTTCACTTTCTAGAATGTGTATTTTGAAACAGGAGCGGGGCCCTTGAAAGAGGCTCATCTTACCTGTAAGTGTGGGAGGTGAGAACGCAACACACACACCCACACATTTTTCTGCGAATCGCCTTGAGACAATTCTGGGAGCCAGTCATACACAGTAATTGCCAGGTACATAGAGACAACTCCTTGTATCATAACTTTTCAATATAAACCCAGATGCGGTTACTACTTAAGGTGTAGTCACATGCACTGGATGTGCTCCACATGACTCCACAGTGCGCACCTGCTGGGAGTAAAGCAGGTTTCCTTATTGCAGGCAAGCATCAAGCCCATAGTGTAGCAGCAATTCTTTCAATGGAGCTTCCATTGATGTCAGCAGGAGTTCCCTAAGGAGCAAGGTGCCATTTAGGGTCCAAAATAAGATTTAAATTCTGCACATATTTGAATATAATTTTTAAATGATATTGAACTCTGATTTACTTTTCTCTTTTCAGAGCTCAAGATTTAAGGATGGGCCTCACATTGGGCATCAAAGCATCTTGTATATCAGTCCCTGGAGTAGTAGACTTCCTGACTGCCTCTCACAAAGTTGCAATTTGTGTAAGTGACAAAATAACTTCCTCTTGCAATGAATTATTTGTGTGTGGGATGGAACATGTTCTTTGGGGGTATTAAATACGTGGCATTCAAAGGTTAACATCATGCCCGGCCTGCTGCAGAGCTGTGTGAGAATGGGGATGAGAATTCTGCATTTTTGACATTTGTTTGCATTCCACATTGGCACCAAAATATATCCTGACATGAAATTGGGGAGCACAAGAGTAACCGTGTTTCAATCAAAACATTTTGAATCAATTTAAACTTTCAACATTGTTTTTACTTCCTACTATAAATGTCATGATGCGGAGTCACTGTGAAATGAAAAACTGCTACAGCCCATTTTGCAAAGATGAAACAGAACATTTCAACATGACCAACATTTCTATTGTATCAAAACACAATTTCATTGCCTTTGACACGTTCCCCTGGAAAGTTTCTTCAGCAAAACAGCAATGTTCCAACAAAAAACTATTCCCAAGGAACATTTTCAAGCAGATCCATCCTGCTGAGTTATGCTCAGGAGCCCTTGAAAATCGGGGCCCTACAATGTGTATCCAGCCCTTGATAAAACCCTATGGGAGGCAGGCAAACAGGATGAAGAGGAGGAGGGAGGGGGCACTCTAGGAGAGCAGTGCCTTAATCTTAAGAAAGCAAGAAGCATTTGAATTATGAGGCCATAATCCCATCCGGTGAGTCTGATGAAGTGAGCCTTTTCTCCCCCTCAACCCATAATTCACTTAGCCATTGGTAAGTCTGTAACATGATTTTGCATGTTGTGATAATGTGATTGTTCCCATTAGGATGTCATGATCTCACCGTTCCAAATGGGCACAGGAAATGCCCCACAGTATACAGAACTGGTGATAGCCAGGGAAGGTGGATTACAATAGCATGTTAGAGCCGCATGTCAATTTTAAACACAAGAGATTTTGTTTGGTTCTCAGACAAAGGTTTGTGTGTCTTTTTTCCCTCCTGAAAAACTGAGGAACTCCTACGAATGTATCTGCACTGAGATGAGTAATCTGATTTTGGGACTAGCAGAAGAAATGCAGACCTGCCAAGTGCACTTCAGTGTGTGCCTGGGATACTCTCAGAATAGGTGCACTAGCTTGTGTGTGGGAAATCATCCTCCCCCACCCCCAAGGGGCATGACAGTGGAAGCTCCACGCGCGGGTGAGGAGGGAAGGGAAAATGCAGGTTTTTTTCCTTTAAAAAAATCACTAGCCCACAAAAAGTGGGTTTTGCCCAGGACAGCTCATGGCCCAAGATATTTGTTAGTCTCTAAGGTGCCACAGGGCTGCTCCTTGTTTTAAAATTACAGACTCACCCCTACCCCAGTCCCAGAGTTTAGGCATCCTTCTAGGTTAAGCCCACGTTTGATGATACCAAACTGTTTAGGATAGTCAAGACAGAAGCAGACTGTGAGGGACTCCAAAAAGATCTCACCAAACTGAATGATTGGGCAACAAAATGGCAAATGAAATTTAATGTGGATAAGTGTAAAGTAATGCACATCGGGAAAAATAACCCCAACTATACGTACAGTATGATCAGGGCTAATTTGGCTATGACAAATCAGGAAAGAGATCTTGGAGTTACCGTGGACAGTTCTCTGAAAACTTCCACACAGTGTGCAGCGGCCGTCAAAAAGGCAAATAGGATGGTAGGAATTATTAAGAAAGGGATAGAAAATAAGACCCAGAATATCTTACTGCCCCTGTATAAAACTATGGTATGCCCACATCTTGAATACAGTGTACAGATGTGGTCTCCTCACCTCAAAAAAGGTATTTTGGCCTTGGAAAGGGTTCAGAAAAGGGCAACTAAAATGATTAGGGGTTTGGAACGGGTCCCATATGAAGAGAGGTTAAAGCGACTGGGACTTTTCAGTTTAGAAAAGAGGAGACTGAGGGGGGGGGGATATGATAGAGGCATATAAAATCATGAGTGGTGTGGAGAGGGCAGATAAAGAAAAGTTATTTATTAGTTCCAATAATAGAAGAACTAGAGGACACCAAATGAAATTAACAGGTAGCAGGTTTAAAACTAATAAAAGAAAGTTCTTCTTCACACAGCGTGTAGTCAACCTGTGGAACTCCTTGCCAGAGGAGGCTGTGAAGGCTAGGACTATAACAGAGTTTAAAGAGAAGCTAGATAATTTCATGGAGGTCAGAGTCATAAAAGGCTATTAGGAGGGGGATAAAATGGTGTCCCTGGCCTCAGTTTGTCAGAGGCTGGAGAGGGATGGCAGGAGACAAATGGCTTGATCATTGTCTTTGGTCCATCCTCTCTGGGGCACCTGGTGCTGGCCACTCTCGGCAGACAGGACACTGGGCTAGATGGACCTTTGGTCTGACCCAGTACGGCCGTTCTTATGAAGCAGTGCAAAGGGGAGAGCTGCTAGGAGACTCGTTCCCACGGAAATCCCCCCACCTGGCGCACAGGAAGCCCCGCCCACGCGCCCCGCCTCCATTGCT